GCAAGAAGTGCGTGCGATGTTAGAGGAAGCAATTTTAGCCTCTCAATGTTCGGTATTACTTTCGGTACCAGCGCGATCTTGAAATTCAAATAACTGCCAAGTGATTTCAGTGGTCAGTGAAATGGTTTCGGAAATGAAAATCATATTTTTTGTAAGTGCAATGATATGTTCTTGAGGAAAAACATGTATGGAATAAATTGTTTTTATTGGTTTTCCAACTATTCACCTTATAGGTATCATATTTGCAAAATTTGTAACATCATTCCGTCTGATTCCAAAATGAGTTTTCAAGGTTTTCAAAGCTCAGTTGAAACTGTAGTTATTCAACCTCTCTTGCTAACAATCTTCAGAATTCTCGTTTCAAATTAGCTGCTGCCAAGAAAGTTATAGAACATGAATTATACTTGTATCGGGGTGTATTTAGTTGTAATTAGTCCCGATTTTTTTATGGTATCGTTCAAGAAAACAATATAGTGCAACCTACNAAAAAGTCTGCGTTGTTGTCACACTTGCTATTACTATTAATACTTGTCCAAAAACGTCACATTTCAAACAGATAACAAAAATTTTAAGTAATTATAACTGCACCAATATCGAATTTCAGCACTCAAATCGCGATAAGTTCCTTAACTGAACACGACTGCGATAACAGTAACATGACTTCAAATTTAATTTTATGACTTTTCAGCCAATCATAAAACTCGGATAGTAAAAATTATCCAATACGAACCGCCAAATCTGCAGTCTACATAGACTAGTTTGTTGCCGGTTCATTTCTATGTATTGATTTTTTTGGCCTTTGAGGGTACCGCCAACTTTAAGACTGCACAATACCGTTTACTTCGACTATACACCTATTTACACGAGTCCCAGGTCAAATTATGCGGCATTCATCTGGAACAGATCTTTTTTCAACCTAATTGTTGTTATATGCCAATAGGCATATGGAGTATAGATGGTTTTTTTTGAGATCTCAACTGATTTTGGTCACCATTCACGAGATTTTAGTTCCAGGATGTTCAAAAACTTTCTAGATAATTCCTGAACATTCCACCGAATTCCAGAATGTTCCTGGAGAGTTCCAGAATGTTGTGGAACTCTATCGCATATTGTGAACCATTCTAGAACTTTCTGAAGGTCGAAACTTCCAGGCCTTATATTTTCAAAAGCACGGCCTTCAGAAAAAACGGTAGTTTCCTTCATGGCAAGCTATGACAAAAAAAAATGTAGTTATATGTTCTGCTACCTGTGCGAAGCCAAGTCACTAACTTGTATGTAAATTAATCCTCCTTATAACTTCAATCAATACCTAAGTGTAGATATCAGGCTTGAAGATTTTTGCCTTCAGTTTTTTTCATCAATTTTTGTAGTCACTTCAATAACAAATTCAGCTTTGTATTACAGTAGAGGTCCGTATTAAAAAAATAATTGATAATGGAATGTAATGAACGAAACGTCGCATTGCAAATTGGTTTATAGCAGTTTATAACAAATAGGAAACAGTATTGAAAGTCCCTCTGCCATTCTATTCTAGTTTTTGGCGAATATTTCTCATCTGAAAAGAAATTATTCTAGTTCTCCAAAATATGCAAATTTTGACCGACCTTGTAGGTCGGTCATTCACTTTGTAATCATAAACTATTTCATTTCAACTCGTTCATTGAAGGGTTGCTTAATATCTGAGATGAAATGCTGACTCACAGAAAGAAAAGTGACCAAATCTTGATGACCGATACTTTTTTCAAAATTGAATTTCTCATAAGTGATTTCAATTCAACCAAATTTTGTTCTGCGATTACTTCATCAGTGAAAATATCGCATTAAACATAAGAACAGGTGTTAGTTAAGTCATCAAAGACCACTCATTGTTTTTAATGCAATCTCCATTATTCAATTGCGATCAGTTAATAAAATACCTGCATGCATTAGGCAATTAATTAATTTCACACTCTAGCAGAGAACAATAACAACAGAGAACGCTAAACATAAACCGTCAAGTGATACTATAAGTTATGTGAAACTTATCATGTTGTAGCTTATTAGCAATTATTGAAAAAACAGATGTTAGATTTTGATAGAATATCATTAAGAATTTTTCATTTATTTGATACCTACTAACGAAAAATGCCCAAATCCATATCCATAGTAAAAATGATTCAGTAAGCTGTTGGATTTGAAAGAGGAGAAAATAAGAAATCTATTATTAGATCTGTTTCCATTATACGATAGGTTGCCTTTTATGTTTCGGGATTTCGCAACCCTAGTATTGTTTACAGTAACTCAAAAGATTCATCTCGGCCCAAAAATGGAATTAAATCGTGAAGATTTTCTTGCGATTATTTTTCACAACTTTCGACTTGGATTAACTCAGCAACGGTACATGAGTGAACTTAATTCTGAAATAGATGACATTCATCCAGTAGTGTTACAAAGAACACTGGAAATTTCACTTCAAAAACAATCAGGGCAAATTTGGCTCTGGATTACATACATAAGCCATCAAACTGATTAGGGCCCCTTCCAGTCTGAAATCTGGGACAAGATTTGACAGAGCCCTTGGGATCGATCAATACCATGTCATTTGCATTTAAAACATTTGATATCGAGACCAATATGCTTACATGTCAGTTACACAGTTAACTCGGGTTATTCCGTGGATATCTATTTTTTTAATATCATTTTCAGGTCTGGACTAACCTTGCTTTGAAAGGATTATCCTGTAGATATTCATGAAAGACATGCTTATGGATATCCATAGGATATATGAAAAATAATGCAATGTCATATCAATCGAAATTATAATCAAAATAATACAATATTCAATAATCTTAGTTCTAGGCGTTTTTCTCTGCAAAATAATTGATATTACTGGAGTTTTTCCCCAACACCAAATCGTAATTTTTAACATTTCGACACGTGTTTGGATCACCAAGTGATCATCTTCATAGAGGAAGATTAAAACTAGAAACTAATGCGAGCTAACCCTATTATGCTATATAGGTAATCCATACAGGTAAACCATCCAGGCGTTAACTGAGATGTATTTATCTTGGTTTTTGTCCTTTCTGAAAGTCGAGATTTCGTTCATTCTTAACCTAAACTTCTTTTTCCTTATTATGTCATCTACAATACCCCTCGAGAAACCGTTAGTGACTGCTATTTCCTGTATTGTACGTCTTTCTTTTGTAAACCTATCTTGTGTTAGAGGGAAAGTCAAAAGACGATGCACTAAAAAATTCAACCCAGCACGTTTGTGCTGTCCACAGTGATGTAAACTGTCAGGAATATACCTGCACGTGCTTGTTTCTTTCCTAAATATATCGTATTCTAACCCTCCATATTGGCTCCTTCATTACCAAAACGTCAAGAAATGGTAGTTTTCCATTATTTTCTAACTCATACGTGAATTTTATTGATGGACATCTATCATTTAAAATGGAAACAAAGTCGTCAGAGAGTCGTGAGAGAAAAGGACGTTTTTTTTATTTGACAGCCGACAAAGGTAACAAAGTAGTAATTCTGGATAAATCAGACTACTACGAAAGGGTCAATACTCTCATTACTAATGAGATCTCATTACTAATGATCGAAACATGTGTCGAGGTGTTAAAAATAACGATTTGGTATTGGGAAAAAACTCCAGTAATATTCATTACAACACCAAAGGTTCCAAACAGTGCATCATGAATATGCAAAATAATTGTTTACGAAGGTGATTGCCTCTTCATTTGATGAAAACCTCTGTTCCCCGAGCGCAATTTTCAGATGAGGGACCAAAAAGAAGTCGATTGAGGCTAGATCTGGTAAGGTAGGTGGTCAAGCAGTTCAAACCGTAATTCGTGTGAGACAGTGCATTGTCTTGGTGGAACGGAATTTTCCGTTTCTACGACGTACCTTTTTTCACATATTCTCAAAGCTCTGAAAGTACGCGAACCTGACGTTACAGAAAGTGCGCCAAAAGTCAGCACTATAAATGACACGGTAGAAAAGAGAGCTTCAGTTTCAGTTGATACCAAGCCACTGAAGATGACTGGCGCAGTTGCAGTTGAAACGTTTAGAGAATATAACCAAAGAAGACCACGGCAAGACCCCTGGAAACCAACCAAAACGAAAACAACATTGTTTGGAAAATGAATGAATTAATTCGCATAGTGAATGTTTTTGTGTAATACACCTTTCAATCATTTCAAAAAACCTTACTCTCAATGCGAATCCGAAATTTCGTTATTTCAACCTGTAATACCTTGAGCCTCAATAAGAAAATCCCGCTAAGTTCATTTCCAATTATTGAGTCATTAAATATTGTAGACGATAATGGTTGTGGCCATTAGAGCTAGCATATATTATGTAAATAGGCACCACTTTCTTCGAGCTTACCTATTTGATTCTTCAAATAAATTCATACAGAGTGACAATGGGAAATGTGATTTCATAAGTTATATAAACTGCCTTATTGACATTTCAAATCGAGTGCAATCCAATGAAATTCCTTAGTTCATATCGAAGTTTTTGAGAATCCTCTGATGAATTATTTCCATCCGACTTGAAGAAGAAAAAATGGATCATTATTATTGTATTGCGGCTAAAAATTGAAGACACCATTCCACACATTGCAAGAAGATAAACATGCGTATTGATATTCGAAACAGTTCCCAATAGTAAGGATCTGAAAAACAACTACTTTCCTGGCTAATATTCAAATTTATTAGCAAATGTACAATATCAAATGAATGTCTACAAATATTAAAAAATTGTAATTACATGTATAATACTTTAACACAATCTGCTAAGTGTAAACACTTGTGTTTGACTGGGTTAGTTCTGATGAATTGAATGACGTCAATCTTATTAACCAGCACTTCAATCCCTTACCTCAACCTATCAGATCTGCATACCAACTGTCCTTATTAGATCGATATGTTAATTTGAAAAAATCTGAATACTCTCTTCACTTTATCCCAGTCACCATTGAGATGGGATAAAACGGGATATGCCTCAAAATGATCAATCTCATTTATTCTTTTTCGATAAATCATTTCATCTCATTCTTAAATTCCATCATAACCAGTTGCCGATTTTCAAAATTTTGGAAAGGTGGATTGGATATCCCTCTTGCTAAGTGTAACTCACCTACAGCCCTTTTTGGCCTGA